TATTTTTGATTATTGTGATTACTGGGGACATAAGGGTGGGGGGAGTTGGGGAGTTGGGGGAGTGTTTCTATTGGCATCTAGTGGGTAGAGTCCAGGGATACAGCTAAATACCTTTCAATGCACAGGACACCCCCTGTACCAAACAAAGAATTATTCAGTCCAAAATATCAGTAGTGCCATGATTGAGAAACCTTGCCTTCAAAGAGTAATTCTAACATTTTAGCATGCATCAGAATCACCTAGAGGATTTATTAAGACATAAACTCTCAAAAGGGCTGAGCTCTCAAAGTTTCTGATGTATATCTAGAATTCCTTACAAGTTCCCAGGTGATAATGATGCTGTTGGTCTAGGAACGACACCGTACGAACCACTGCATTAGAGAACCAGTACATAATATAAAAGTTTTTTTTTCTGTGTAATATTGTTATTTGTGTGGATTTTCCTGATACCTGTTAAAGTAGTTATCATTGATATGTCTTTGTTTTAGTTCTTTTGTTTAAATTAAAACAATTCAGGGCCAGACACGATGGCTCATGCCTATAATCCCAACACTTTGGGAGACTGAGGCGGGTGGATCACTTGAGGTCAGGAGTTTGAGACCAGCCTGGCCAACATAGTGAAACCCCATCTGCACTAAAAATACAAAAATTAGCTGGTGTGTTGGCCGGTGCCTGTAATCCCAGCTACTCTGGGGGAGGCAGAGCAAGTCTTCACTCTGGTGACCTTCATATTTTAGACTTTTATTTTTTGAAGCTCTGCCCCCTTGCAAAGGTGAGCTTCAGCTACCTGCAACAGTCACTTCTGGGAATTGCTTGAACCCAGGAGGTGGAGGTTGCAGTGAGCCGAGATCGTTCCACTGCACTGCAGTCTGGGTGACAGAGCTAGACTCCATCTTAAAAAAAAAAAAAAAAAAAAGAAAAAAAGAATTCAGATGCAATACTGAGTGGGAAGCTTTGGAAAAGCGGTTGAGACATGGCATTGGCACATAAGCAGATGTTTGTAAGAGGTTCTGTTTGTAAGGCATATCGAGGAAGCAAAAGTTGGTGATCATACTTAGTATTTCATACTTGAAGATATTAGACCTGCTTAGTTGTACTATGATACTTTCTAAGCAGTAACTTAGAGACAAATTTTAAATGATCAGTTTTGAATTATAGGACATTGCTTATCCTGAATAAATTATTCAGATTTTTGTTTAATGTTTTTAGCATTTAAAGAACAAATACTGTTTTATGGACCTCTTTGAGCACATGCATAATAAAGTTGTGAAATGAAGGAGAAAAAAAACCTGGCTGAGGTAGCTAAAATAAAATCAGTGGGAAAAAAAAAAAAACCATTTTAATCAATAGAACATTAAACTGTGGAGCTTTTAAGGAAGAATTGTGATTTAGTTGTCCTTTATTAGGGAACTCATAAACCAGTACTAAAAAGAAAAAGAGAGTTAAGATCTGTAACTCTTTATATTGGAGGTAAAAGTTTTTTTTTTTTTTTTTTTGTCGGGTTCTCACACTGTTGCCCAGGCTAGAGTGCAGTGGTACAGTCATGGCTCACTACAGCCTTGAACTCCAGGACTCAAGTGATCCCCCTGCCTCAGTCACATGAGTGCCATCACACTTGGCTAAGTTTTTTATTTTTTGTATAGACAGTGTCTCACTATGTTGCACAGGCTGGCAAAACAGCTTTTTATCTTGTAACTTGCATAACTCAATATTCTGGATTAGCTTTAGCAATATTGTATAAAGAACGAAGCATGATTTGAAGCATCACTGTCCAATAGAACATGTAATGTGAAATATATATACAAGTTTCATGTGGAATTTTATAGTAGCTACGTTTAAAAGGGCTAAAAAATAGGTGAAATTAATTGTAATAATATTTTTTAATCGAGTATAACTGAAATATTATTACTAATGATGTATTTTACATTTTGTCCTAATCTTCAAATCAGTGTGTATTTTATGCTTATAGCACATCTCAATTTGGATTTGTTATATTTCAAATAGCCACATGTGGCTAGTGGCTACCATATTGGACAGTGCATATTTAAGAGTTATGGAACAAGTAATAGCCCAATTTTTACATTTTATTGACATACATGGCCCAGGACGACTTTGAATGTGGACCAAATTAGTAAACTTTCTTAAAATATTATGAATTCTTTTTTTTTTTTTTTTTGCTCATCTACTATTGTTAGTGTTAGTATATTTTATGTGTGGCCCAAGAGAGTTCTTCTTCCAGTGTGGCCCAGGGAAGCCAAAAGATTAAACACCCCTGGTCTGTGTGATCTGGCTCCTTTCATATGTCTGGCTCATTTCCTGCTTCACACCAGTGTATAGCCTTAGCTCTCAAAGGACCCGCTGTTGTTTTCCATATATGCTATTTTTCTTGATTTGTGACATTACATGCTTATCTCTTTGCTGAATGCCCTTGAATCTTACCATTCTACCTCTTTATCTAGCTAACTAGTACTTTGAAATTCAATGCAAAACTCATTTTCTCTGGATAAACTTCTTTTATCCACTAGTATGCGCAATAAAGGCAGCAGATGCAAAGTTAAGATACACATCCATTCATGTTTGGATTATGTGGAACAGACATAGTGTTAATATCCATAATAGTGACTGAGTGTGGTGGCACATGCCTGTGGTCCCAGCTACCCAGATGACTGAGGTGGGAGGATTGTGTAAAGCCAGCAGGTCATGGCTGCAGTGAGTTTTGATGGTGCTACTGCATTCCAGCCTGTGTGTCAGAGCAAGACCCTGTCTCAAAAAGAAAAAAGAAAAGATCTGTAATAGTAAAAAGTGTTGTGAATAATTAAAAGACCAAAGTTTATTGAAGATGTAGGAGGATATGAATAAGCATGAAAATATAAATATTAATAAATGTGAAATACAATTTTTTTATCTATCAGATGAGTAAATATTTAAAAGATTAACTGCATTTTTGCATGGTTGCAGAGCAGTGCTTTCCAAAAGAAATGTAATACAAACCACGTATGTAATTTAAAATTATCTAGCAACCACATTAAAAAATTTTTATAAAAGTGCAGTTATTCTATTTTTCTCAATACGTTCAAAATACCACTTCAACATATAATCAATGTAAAAACATTAAATATACATTTAAAGTTTTTATCATACAAAGTCATCAAAATCTAATATATTAATTTCAGAACATAGCAACTTTTACTAGCCATTCAGAGGGAATAGATATTCTTTTACATTTTTGGTGAGGAAATGTTTTGGAGGACAATTTGGCAATATTTATCAAATTAAAGATTCAAATGACCCAGGATTCTATTCCTAGAAATCTATTCTCTAGAAATAACATATATTTAAAGAATATAGACAGGTATTTTTTACAGTATTGTTTGTAATAGCAAAACATTGGAAACAACCTAAATGTTCTGGAGAGATGTGGTGAGATAATTATGATATTTCCAGACAGTGGTGGACTATACAACCTTAAAAAATATGGAAGCTGTTTATGTCAAGTTATGTGAGCTAATAAATATTATATTATTTAACATATATAAAATGTTTAGAATGTGCCTGGCACATAGTTAATGTGATCTCAGTGTTTGTTATTATTATGAATTTATTGATATGGAATAAATATTCATATGGAAAAAAGTCTCCAGATATGTTAAGTAAAATTAAAAAACACCAACATACAGAGCTATTTATTATATGATATCATTTGTGCAAATAAAGGGTAATAAAAAGAATACATATATGACTGCTTGTATATGCATATAGTATCTGTGGAAGGGCATGCAATAAACTGAGAACATTAATTATATTTGGAGAGGAGAATGAGATGGTAGATAGTGACTTTTCACTGTGTCCTGTTCCTTTTGTATTTGTTCCATAATGAATATATTACTTAGTGTAAAATTGAAATGTAAATTAAACTTATTTCTCTTATTGAAAAGTATGCATTTTACCATTAAATCAGGTTCATTTCTAGAATTAGTATGAATTATTGTGGTTTTACTCAGGAAAAATCACAGGATTGTACAACTTCATTTATCTAGAATGGCTGGAGAATATGGGATTCTGGGTAAATTTAATTTTGAGTAATCAGAATTTTAATCAGAAGCATTTGGTTTCAAAATATATATGCCTTTTGAAAACATTTCTAAGTCATCCTTTTTCTTGTATCAGTAAGTATGGCATATTGAACTTACCAGAATGTGTTGACTTTTTGAGGATTTTGTGCTTAGTCATTCTTACTATCAGCTTGCAAAAGCATAAGAAACTGAGTTTGAATACATACATTCTTTAAAATATATCCGGCTGTTTGTGGTGACTGACGCCTGTAATCCCAGCACTTTGGGAAGCTAAGGCGAGCGGATCACCTGAAGTTGGGGGTTTGAGACCAACCTGACCAACATGGAGAAACACCTTCTCTACTAAAAATATGAAATTAGTTGGCCATGGTGGCACATGCCTGTAATCCCAGCTACTTGGCAGCCTGAGGCAGGAGAATCACTTGAACCTGGGAGGTGGAGGTTGTGATGAGCCGAGATTGTGCCATTGCATTCCAGCCTGGGCAACAGGAGTGAAACTCCATCTCAGAAAAAAAAAATAATATCTCCTAGAAAGTGTTTTTTAAAAAGGTGACAACAAAATAACTCGATCCTAATATAGGCTTTGTATGTGCAAGTGATATTTCTCTAAGAGTTGAGCTCTGAATAAAAGGGTAGAAGAATTCTGGTTAATTTAAATTTCACAGCTGGGTGCTATGGCTTATGCCTGTAATCCCTGCATTTTGGGAGGCCAAGGCAGGAGGATCACTTGAGGCTGGGGGTTCAAGGCCAGCCTGGGCAACACAGCAAGACCATGTCTACAAAAGAAATAAAATAAAAAATAAATTTAATATTTGTGACCGTTCTGTTTATCAAAATTTCTGGACAAATACATATGTTAATTTTATATTTTTCATGTATAGTTCTTGCTTTTTCACAGGCATTTATTAACACTTTTGGTGTTTTTAGGATTTGGAGTGGATCAGTTACGAGACGACAATCTAGAAACTTACTGGCAATCAGATGGTTCCCAGCCTCATTTAGTGAACATCCAGTTCAGGTAATACATTTTCAAATTTTTCATCTAGTGTAGGTTATAGACAAAGAAATCTATTTTATTTACATAAAAACTAAAGATAGAAATTACAATGAAATACACTTTTTAAACTCTGAAGTCTTAGAGATTATTTTTCTGTTCGGTTAGATCATTAGCATTTCAAATTTACTCTGTCTTATTTTTTATGAATTTTCTTATGGTATGTTGCATAGTTCCTTTTATGTAGATATTTCTCAAATATACTTTTCAATATAATTTATTTTTTGAAGGTACTTCCAGTAAAATATGTTTTGCTTGTGGCCCAATACAGTGCCTTGATGTATCATATTAAGTAAACCCTGAGTGGTGACTGTAAGTTTTTTAACTGTGGAATATTCATGTAACTTCTCAAATTTTTACTTTTATTTGGAAAAAAAAAATTTAACTTAGAACCTTTCAGGACATTTTCCTTTTTGAAAATGCCTTTTGAGGAGAAAGGAAAACAGCCACATGTTTGTCAATGCTTTGCATGTATTTATTATCAAATTTTTAAAATTTTAAATAGAGACAGTTGACCACTATGTTGGCCAGGCTGGTCTCAAACTCCTGGCCTCAAGCATTTCTCCCACTTCAGCCTCCCAAAATGCTGGTGTTCCAGGCATGAACCACTGGGCCTGGCTGAATTTATTGACATAGTTGGAAACCAGTTAACTTGGCTATCTTGTTCCATTTATACCATCTTTTCTGTATTGTTTTGTTTTGTTTTTTTTGAGATGGAGTTTTGCTTTTGTTGCCCGGGCTGGAGTGCAATGCCGTGATCTCGGCTCACCGCAACCTCCGCCTCCCAGGTTCAAGTGATTCTCCTGCCTCAGCCTTCCAAGTAGCTGGGATTACAGGCATGTGCCACCATGCCCAGCTAATTTTGTATTTTTAGTAGAGACGGGGTTTCTCCATGTGGGTCAGGCTGGTCTCGAACTCCTGACCTTGTGATCCACTCGCCTTGGCTTCCCAAAGTTCTGGGATTACAGGCATGAGCCACTGCACCTGGCTTATACCATCTATTTTAACGTGCTATAGCATTGTATTTTTAGTTGTTTGTTTTTATTGTCCTAGAGTACAAATCAGCAAATTTCCAGCAAGCCAGATAGTGAATATTTTAGGCTTTGTGGGCCATCTCATCTGATTTGCAGCTACAGTGCTCAGTTCCAGTATTATAGCACAAAGGCGGCCCTACACAGTGCATAAATGACATAATTTAGCTGTTCTCATTAAATTTTATCTTACAAAAGCAGATGTTAGGCAGGATTTATTCATTTTCCTTCTGACTTCTGTTTTAGGTTAAGGGAGTACATGTGCAGGTTTGTTACATGGGTAAATTGCCTTTTGCTGGGGTTTGGTGTACAAATTATTTCGTCATGCGGGTAGTAAGCATAGTACCTGATAGTTTTTCGGTCCTCATCTTCTTCCTTTTGTTTACCTCAAGTAGGCACCCATGTCTATTGTTCCCTATTTTGTATCTATATGTATTCAATGTGGTTTTTTTTTGTTTTTTTTTTTGAGACGGAGTCTCACTCTGTTTCCCAGGTGGAGTGCAGTGGCACGATCTCTGCTCACTGCAACCTCCACCTCCCAGGTTCAAGCGATTCTCCTGCCTCAGCCTCCCAGGTAGCTGGGATTACAGGTGCCTGCCATCACGCCCGGCTAATTTTTGTATTTTTAGTAGAGACAAGGTTTCACCATGTTGGCCAGGCTGGTCTCAAACTCCTGACCTCAGGTGATCCACTCGCCTCGGCCTCCCAAAGTGCTGGGATTATAGGTGTGAGCCATTGCACCCAGCCATGTATTCAATGTTTAGTTCCCACTTATAAGTGAGGACATGCACTGTTTGGTTTTCTGTTTCTGTGTTGTCTTAGGATGCCAGCCTCCAGCTGCATTCATGCTGCTGCAAAGGACATGATTTCGTTCTTTTTTATGATTGTGTGATGTTCCATGGTGTATATGTACCATATTTTCTTTATCAAGTCCACTGTTGATGGGCATCTAGGTTGATTCCTTGTCTTTGCTATTGTGAATAGTGCTGCAGTGAACATGTGTGTGTATTTGTCTTATGGTGAAATGATTTAAATCCCTTTGGGTATATAACCAGTAATAGGATTGCTTGGTCGAATAGTAGTTAATGGTTTAAATTCTTTGAGAAATCTTCAAGCTGCTTTCCACAATGGCTGAACTAATTTACATTCCCACTAGCAGTGTATAAGCATTGCCTTTTTTTCACAACTTCACCAGCATCTGTTATTTTTTTGACTTTTTAATAATAAACATTCCGACTGGTGTGTGAAATGGTATCTCATTGTGGTTTTGATTTGTATTTCTCTAGTGATTAATGAGGTTGACCGTCTTTTCATATGCTTGTTGGCTGTATGTCTACTTTTGAGGAATGTCTGTTCATATCCTTTGCCCATTTTTTAATAGAGTTGCCTTTTTCTTGTAAATTTAAGTTCCTTATAGATTCTGGATATTAGACTTTTGTCAGATGCATAATTTGCAAATATTTTTTCCCATCCTATAGGTTATCTGTTTACTCTGTTAATAGTTTCTTTTGCTGTGCTGAAGCTCTTTAGTTTAATTAGGTCCCACTTGTCAATTTCCATTTTTGTTTTAATTGCTTTTGGAGTTTTTGTCATGAAATCTTTATTAGGTCCTATGTTCTAGGTATTTCTAGGTATTTCCTAGGTTTTCTACCTGGGACTTTATAGTTTTTGGTTTTACATTTAGGTCTTTTATAAATCTTGATTATTGTGTATGGTGAAAGGGGGGGTCTAATTTCAATCTTCTGCTTATGGCTAGCCAGTTGTCCCTGTACAGTTTATTGAATAGGGAGTTCCTTCCCCATTGCTTGTTATTGCCAACTTTGTTGAAGATCAGATGTAGATATGCGGCTTTATTTCTGGGTTCTCTAACCTGTTCCATTGGTCTCTGTATCTGTTTTTGTACCAGTACCATTCTCTTTTGGCTACTGTTATTTTGAAGTATAGTTTGAAGTTGGGTAATGTGATGCCTCCAGCTTTGTTCTTTTTGCTTGGTATTGCTTTGGCTATTGAGGCTCTTTTTTGATTCTAGATGAATATTAGAATAGTTCTCTGATTCTGTGAAAACTGTCAGTAGTTTGATTGGAATAGCATTGAATCTGTAAATTGCTTTGGGCAGTTATGACCATTTGTTTTTTAAACAATATTGATTCTTCCTATCCATGAGCATGGGATATTTTTCCATTAGTTTGTGTCATATCTGATTTCCTTCAGCAGTGTTTTGTAATTCCTGTATAGATCTTTTGCTTCCTTGGTTAGCTGTATTCTCAGGTATTTTATTCTTGTTTGTGGCTGTTTTGAGTGGAATTGTGTTCTTGATTTGGCACTTAGCTTGGATGTTACTGGTGTATAGAAATGCTATTGATTTTTGTATATTGATTTTGTATCCTGAAACTTTGCTGAAGTTGTTCATCAGATCTAGGAGTCTTTGGGCAGAGACTATGGGGTTTTCTAGGTAGAGAATTACATTGTCTGCAAACAGAGATAGTTTGACTTCCTCTCTTCCTATTTGAATGCCTTTTAATTTTTCTCTTGCCTGATTGCTGTGGCTAGGACCTCTAGAACTATGTTGAATAGAAGTGGTGAGAGTGGGCATCCTTGTCTTGTTCTGGTTCTTAAGGGGAATGCTCCTTCCAGTTTTTGCTCAGTATGATGTTGGCTGTGGGTTTGTCATAGATGACTCTTATTATTTTGAATTATGATCCTTCAATGCCTAGTTTATTGAGGATTTGTAACATGAAGAGATGTTGAATTTTATTGAAAGCCTTTTCTGCATCTCTTGAGATGATGATGTGGTTTTTGTTTTTCGTTCTGTTTATGTGATGAATGACATTTGTTGATTTGCATATGTGGAGCCTGTCTTACATCCCAGGAATAAAGCCTCCTTGATTGTGGTGGATTAGCACTTTTTTGATGCTCTGCTGGATAGAGTTTGCTAGTATGTTATTGAGGATTTTTGTGTCGATATTCATCGAGAATATTGGCCTGAGGTTTCTTCTTTTACTGGGTCTCTGCCAGGTTTTGGTATCAGAGTGATGCTGGCCTTAGAATGAGTTAGGGAGGAGTCCTTCTCAGTTTTTTGCAATCATTTCAGTAGGATTGATACCAACTTTTTCTGTACTCTGGGGTTCTCTGAATTTCCTGAATTTGAATGTTAACCTCTTTAGTGAGGTTGGGGAAATTTTCATGGACAATAACCTCAAATATATTTTCCAATTTGCTTGTTGTTTCTCCCTCTCTTTCGGGGACCCCATTGAGTTGTAGGTTTGGTCTCTTTACATAATCTCCTATTTCTCCGAGGTTTTGCTCATTTAAAAAAAAATTCTTTTTAATTTTTGTCTAACTGAATTGATTTGAACAACCCATCTTTGTGCTCTAAGATTCTTTCCTCAGCTTGGTCCATTCTGCTGTTAACACTTCTGAATGTATTATGAAATCCTTGTAGTGAGTTTTTCAGCTCTATCAGATCAGTTTGGTTCTTTCTTAAAATAGCTATTTCGTGTTTCAGCTCTTGATTCATTTTTCTGGATTCCTTAGATTCCTTGGATTGGGTTTCAACTTCCTTCTACATCTTAATGTTCTTCATTGCCATCCAGATTCTGAATTCTGAATTCCAAATGTCTGTCATTTCTGTCATTTCTGTCATTTCAGTCTGGTTAAGAACCATTGCTGGGCAACTAGTGTGCTCATTTAGAGGTGAGAAGACACTCTGTCTTTTAGACTTGCCACAATTCTTGCTCTGTTTTTTTCTTCTCATCTGTGTGGGAAAATGTTCCTTTAATCTTTGAAGTTGCGGTCTGTTAGATGGACTTCTTTGCTTTTATCTTCTTTGATGTCATGGAGGATTTGACTGTGGTGCAAGTTGGATTTAGTTGACTGTCTTCATTTCTGGATGATTTCAGGATACCAAGGCTCAGCTCAGCACTTGTGGGTTGA